TAGCGAGAATATTGGTTTCTGTTTGATTAAATTTCACTGCCTGAATAGTCTCTGCTTCCCATTCCATACTAAAAATAGGTTTGCTTCTATTTTCATCCCATATATCAATTTTTGTAGATGCTGTTGCAAAAATAGGGTCAAAGTAATGATGATCAATAGAGGAAAAAGCATTTGTACCCATATATATATTAATAGGCTAAATATATCAATTAAATGAAAAAAAAAAAAAAAAACAAAAAAAAATATACATCCGTTGAACTTAATGACCACATTTTCACCATCTTATCTACAGAACAAGACAACAAATGTCCTAAAGCGGTATATGCTAAACCTTTCACTGTACTATTATGTGCATTTATAGATATAACCTCATTTCGTTCAATAAGATCCCATATTTTAAGAACTGAGTAATGAGAAAAAGTCCATCTAAATAATTCTTCTACCTCCATCGCCACTACCACTAGCTATAATCTCAATTTTTCGAGGATCTCTAACTATACAATATACACCATCAACATGACCATTTCCCAACTGTCCAATAAATGGTTTTGCAAACATACGATCCAATTTCACTGAGTTAAGAGCTCTTACATATTCTCTAGCTCTTTCGAAGGGATGAACAGCAGGATCAAGATTTCTAGGCATTGGATTTTGATCGCCTACTCTTGAAGCTATCACTAATGATAGAGGCCGAGAAAGCGTCTTTACTTTCTATATAAAAAGATTAAGTATAAATAATAAAGAATGAATGAATCACCATTTATCTTTAAATTTATTTCATAAAAGAGATAAATATTCTTTTAAAATCATCGTAAATGTTATAATAAAAATTAACGTAGAAAAATCATTTTATGACTTATTTATATAAAATTGTTTCTATAAATATTTTATGTGTATATATTTAAATATGTATAAAATTTATAAAATATAGTTTAGAAAATTTCGATTTTATTCTAACTTCATTATAAATAACATGACCTAGAAAAACATTAAATCCAATTTTTATAAATATAATTACTTTATCATGTATATATGACTAAATTTCCATATTAAAAGTTGTATTATTTTTGAATTATATTTATTTTTTATTAAAATTATTTAAAAACCAAGTTTATCTGTGTATTATTATATATTTTAATATTTAAATACTGTAATTCAAATTATAAAAAATAAATAATTTTGATATAGAAATAATTTAAAATATATTGCAAAAAAAAACAAAAAAAATATATAAATTAATATAAAATATATGGTATTTGAAAAATATAAATAAAAAATATTTTATTTAATTTTTATAAATTTAATTTTATCAAAAACATATAAAATCTTAAATTTTTAAAACCTCTTAAATGATGTTCACCATTTTAACCAATTTTTCCATCCAAAAATAAAACTTGAAATTTTATTGTCTTGTACTTTCATAGAATTATCAGTTTTATCTTCCTTAATATATATATAACGATTTTCTTTTTTTTTAAATAAAAGAACTTTTAATCGTTTATTAACTTCTTCTTTTGAAAAGTTATTATTTAAACTTAAAAACTCATCCAAGGCCAATTTTGCTTTTCTATATTTAATTAATAATTGCTCTAAAAGTCTCCATTCATTTTTTGTCCAAATATTCTTTTGTTCTTGGATTTTTTCAAATCCATTTGAACCTTTTTGACCCCAAATAACTGATTCAAGCTCAAAATGCCCTGTACGTCTTAAAACATCGACAACTCTTTTTGCGGAAATATTTGATGAACTAGATACTTCTATTAACTTGTTTCTTTTAGGAGAGATAAAATTAGATAATGAATTTGACATGTTATCTAAAGGAACTAAAATTTCCGATTCTAATGATTTTTTTTTGGTATTAGTTTCTTTTATACCTTTTTCAATACTATTTTCTTCTTGATTATTCGAAAAATCAAAGTCATTTTTTAAAATATTAATTGTATCTAAAGATAGTTCAATATTTTTTTGCTGTGAATTTGAAATAACAGTTTCTTCATGACAAGGGAAAATATTATTTTCTAAGAAAGATGCATCTTGAGTAGGGATAGAATTTTTTTTTTCAAAATCTGATTCTTTAGAAATATCAGAATGTGTAGATTTTTCACTTAATTTGTCTATCGAAGCCAAAGAAGTAATACTTCTATTATCTAAGTCTCTAATACTCATGAGTAGAGCTTTTCCAAACTTTTTAAACATACATCGAATTTTGATCAAAATAATTTTCAGATTCTATTTTTCTTTTTTTGGATGCAACTGCATTACATTCCTTTTTTGCATTTGAAGCTATTATTTTCGCTTTCTTCTCTAATCTTGAACTCAAACTATTTTTCTCGTTTTGTATAGTATCTATATTAGTAATATTTAAACATTGTTTAACTGTTCTTTTTTTTCGCTTTAGTATTGTTTTTTTTAGCTTTTCATTAGACACATCTAGATCCCTTTTGTCATTTTTATATGAGAGAGACTTTTTCAGAACATTCGAGATATCTTTAGTTACTTCCTTTGCATGTTCTAATATAGGTGTTTTTGTTACTTGTTCGTTTACTTTTTTAGGTGAAACCTATTTAATTAATTAATAAAACACAATTTACAAAAAAAACCTACAAAAAAAACCTCTTCTTTATCATTTCCTATATCTACAAAGAGTCCTATACGCCGAATTTCATTACTTAGCCCAAATTCTTGACGAATTTGACTAGAACCTTGTAAGCGAAGAGGTGTTAAATAAGACACTTTAGGAGATGAAAGAACATCCAAAGGATCCGGAGAAGTAGACAGTTCTTTATTTTCTTGTTTGTTTACATCCCTAAAAGACATATTATACTTTTTAAAAAGTCTTAGACTTGCTTATCGTTAATTGTTTTGAAGATACGTTTCCCTGGAAACGTATAAAGGCAATCTACATTTATAGCACCAAACTAATGAAATTAAAAAGATTTGCACTAGATTGGAAAAATTTAATGCTTTGATAATTAGATCTTATTCTTGTAACTTTGAGATTTTAGAACTAGAGAAATGTCTTTAAATGCATCACTAACGCAAAAAATGGATTTATTAACAGCTGCGTTACGTGAGAATGATGAATGGTCAGATGGTAAAAGAAATAGATTATAGAATTTAATCAAGAAAAATTAATATCAATAGAATCAGTTGAGCGATTTTGTCCTTATTCATTGAATATTCCAATAATAGAATCTAAAAAAAATAAACGTAGACGTTTACTAATTGAAAAATTGGATCATATTTCTCGAGATTTTTTAATAAATAGAGAAAGCTATTTTCATAATCAATTATTATCTCTTCAGAATGAAATACAACAGCTACATGATGGAACACATAGCGAATACTTAGATGGTCTTCGAGATTTGGAAGAGATTCGAGAAAAAGAACTTAAAAGTGTTCAACTTATGAAAGAATTTTTGTTAAAAAGAGCAGAAAATGAATTTGAGCACAATGTGGAAGAATTAGAAGAAGAATTTTTGGTAAGAAAAAATTACTGGTTTTTTGCTACTGAAAATTTATATTATATAGATGAGTAAAGCAACACTAAAATCTACGCTCCTTTCACATTTATTTTCAAGGAAACGAAAACTTTGTGAAGACAAAGAATTGTTGGATATTGTAAATGATTCGTCCCTTGGACCACATTCTTATTCTACAACAAATCCTTTGTTATCTCCGGTTTCTTCAATATCTAATATAGATAAAAGGAAACTTCGACATAGAAAAGGACTTGGAAATAGTAAAAATGCTTCAATTGATGACTCAGTATCTCTTTCTTCTAGTATTAATTATAAAAAGAGTTCTGATAATACTAATTTTTTTCTTAAATCCATAGAAGAACAAATTACTAAGGAACGTAATCGAGAAAAACAAGAAAAAGAACGTGATAAAATTTCTTTAAATGATATATTCAGTCCAAAAGAATCAGAAATCATGGAAGATTTAACTGCTATAAAACGACAAGTAAATTCTAACAAGCTGGATCGAAAACGTATAACATGAAACTTTTAAATTTAATAAATCAATTCTAAAATTTTATATTAAAATATAACTTTTTGAAAAAAACAACAGTTTGAGACAGTATAGCAATCTCTAAAACTTTAGTAATTTAAATTTAAATATAATTAAATATAACTTTCAAAATTTATAAAGTAATAATATAAAAATATATTAATGAAATATAAAAGAATAAGTACAATTACGAAGAAAAATAAAAAATACAATAACTAAAGAGTAATATAATTTTTAATGAATTAATAGATTATAAATTATTTTTTAAAATTTATAATTTATTAATAAAAATAGTTATTTATGGATATCATAATATTATAAGAGTTTGTAGTTAAAAATATACTTAAAATTTGCTTTATAAGTTTTTAAGGTTTATGTTTTATTAAATAAAATTATTTATATAAAAATTTAATTAAAAAATTATAAATACAAAAATCATAAAAGGAATCACAAAATTCAATAATTTAGATATTTAAAATAATATAAATTATATTCTAAGATTTCATAGAGTACCATTTATTTTTATAATAAAATATTTACATTTGAGTTATATTTATTCATAAATCGATCTAAAAATATTTTATTTATATTATGATTTTTATTTATTTATTCAATTTTTTACTATTTAAAAATTAAAATTTGAATAACTTTTTCAATTTTATAAAAATTTAAATTAAAATAAAAATTAAAAATATCCAAAAAAATATTTATAGTAATAACAAACTTTTGAAATTAATACAAACTCTATTATATAGATAAAGCAACATTTTATAATTCATATATTAATTATGAACAAAATTAGATATTTAAATATTTTTATTAAAAATATCAAAAAATATTCAAATTTAAAGGTCAGCAATATTATAAAATATCACATTATTTTTTCACGAAAACCTGAATAAATATATTTTTTTATTTTGAAAAACGAAACCAAAATATTTCTAAAAATCAAAAGATTTAACATTTAAATGTAAAATTCAAAATACTGGTACCACTGGGATTCGAACCCAGGCCTCTTTCGAGATGAGATAAACTCTATAAGCTAGAACTTGAGTCCCACGCCTTAGACCAACTCGGCCATAGTACCTAATGAGTTTCCTCGAGTTATACTCCATATATAAATAATTTAATAATAGGTAAAGTAAATACAAAAAATAGAATAGTTCAAATAAAAAATCGAATTATAAAGCTTTAAAAAACTTTTTTTATTAAGTTAAATACAAATTTATAAATATGAATAATATAAATAAATATCATACAAGAGATTTATCTTTGATTTTCTTACGTTTAGATTTGTCATGTGATTTAGAGAGATTATCATTTTGTTCAGTTTCATTTATCTTCCTTTTCTTTTTTTTGTTCTGATCTTTTTTTTCTATTTTATGCGTTTCTATCTCAAAATTTTTAGATATTTCAGTTTCCGAAATTAATTCTTTTTCATTTTTTCCAAATTCCTTTTGCGAACCCATATCTATTATAATATCGGTATCTATATTGTATTTTGGTGCCCTATTACAATTTAACATTCTATTTAATCAAACATCAAATCATTTACGCTTGAATTTGATATTTTTTCCATATTTTCTCACTTGGTATAGATGACTTTTCTACTTTTCCACCCTCTAACATCCGCAATCTTGCCTCTACTTTTGATTTATTTTCTATTCCAATTGTCCCTATATCCTTTTCTCCCATTGCATCAACTCTTAAACTGATTGCCGCTTTCGTTGCTAAGATTCTTGCTATTTTACCTTTATTTTTTGCACTAGCTTGACCTATTAAACTAGCATGATATATTAAACCATATTTTGGTGTGTCATGCTTTGTTTTAAGAGCTCGAAAAAGAGCCTTTTCCGCTCCTAAAATTTGAATAGTTGAAGCAGGTTGCTTTGCAAGATTTAACAAAGAGCCAGCATGAGCTATAAGACGTGCTCCTACAAGTTCTCCAACCAATGCAGTAAGATTGGGTGCAATAGCTTGCATACGATTACGTAAGTACTCTGAAAGCTGGATACGATAATCTGAGAGAGACAAAATTTGATCTGCTAATAAATTAATATTTTCTAAATCATCATTTGTTATTTCTGTTCCCATAGATACTTTAGCAATAGCTTTCAAAGACATTTCAATATCTTCAGGAAGAATTTCAGAAAAATCCGTTTTATCAGCCATAGTCCTGAATCCCATAGCCTTTATTACTCTTACATAAGCCATATTATCAGAAACTACTCGTGACATCTCTGGAAAATGCCATCCATACCATTCTTTTATACGCATCACATATATATTAAGTTCTTTATCTAAATCATCTAGTAATACAATAGCCTGAATAATCATCGTATCGACTTTGTCTGGAGAAAATTTGAGTTTATGTCGTGAAAGACTATGACTTAATCCTAGCACCATACTAGACATATCTGTTGGAGTTAATCCAGAAATAAGAGTTGTTATATGCTCTCTAATAACACGATAAAGTTCTTGTACAGTAGGATCTGAAATAATAGAAAGATCAAGTCCAGGGATCTTTTTGATTGAATTTGCAAGCCTAGAGATGAAAATTGAACAAAATACCTAAATATTATTATAAAAGTTACTTTGGATCCGAAACAATAAGAGAATCCTTCTTTCCAGAAAATCCTGAAAGTAGGGAAGCAAGCTTCCCAGTAACTTTTCCTTCAATAACAGCAGATACATTATTAAGAGCGTCTATTGTATCTTCAAATTTCGAAAATATTTTCAATTTAAGTCTATTAAATTAAGCCAAAAGGCCATTTCAGCAAAATGTTTGAAAATCTTTGTATAGGTTTTCGGAACATACAAGCTTGACGCCTTATCTACAGTATCGAGACTTTTATACAAAGTTTCTGGTTTCTTCAAAACCTTTTCTTTAGCAGAAAACTTAAAAATCGCATATCCAGCACTTGTTTCAGTTAAAACTATAAAAAGTTAAATGTTTTAAGTACACCTAAGTAGGACAACTTATCTTACCAAGCATTCTCTTATTTTCCCTAAGGAATTCTAGTAAAACCCTCTAATTTAAGTTTCGTTTTTTTTTTTCAAATTGTTCGACATCTAAAAAAGTGGATCAGTTTGAAAAAACTACTTTAGAAAAGTAAAGATATGCTAAGAATATTGCGTAAAGGAGTAAATAAATATTTATGTAAAAAAATTCTTTATCAAAAAGTACAATATATTTTGTTTAAATTTTCAGAGTTTCATAACACAAGTACAAGATGGAAACAATCTCTTATATCAATTCAACGTAAAAAAAAAAATATTGAAAAACAAAGGAAATTGAAGGAACAGCGATCCCTTAAAGTGTGTGATCCAGTCATTGCATTTTCTACAGAATTTACCCGTTCCATTTTATATCCAAAAGACGTTTTTACAGAAACAAGTCCTTTCATAAATTATGCAAATTTTTTTTTTTCTAATGAAGAATTAAACACAATTCTCAAATCCGCAAAAGAAGCAAGCCTTTATCGTGTTGGGCTTTCGTCATCAATGATAAATGAGAATAATCTAACAGAGCTTAAAGAAAAAATGTCTAAATATATTAATATTAGTGAGGAAGCTGATATCCAATCTTTATTGGAAACTATTTCTAAGAATGATAAAATACAGGAAGCATTTGATTCAAATAAGGGCGAAAATACAAAAAATCATATTATTAAACTAGCATCTATTTATAAAATTCAAAAAATATACAAGCAAGAAGATAAAAAAGCGGAGGTTATAAAACGAATTATGAGTTTAAAAAATAGTAACAACAAAGCAATACAGCTCCAAAATATCTTTATGGCTATTCAACAATTTAAACAACATGAATCAGATACCGGATCCCCAGAAGTACAAGGTATAATTTATACTATTGATAAATTCTTCTATATAATATAATTTTAGCTGCAATATTTACAGTTCGTATACATTATCTGAATTTTCATCTTTCTTTTCATCATAAAGATAAAAATACTTTCAGAGCATTAAGACATTTAGTACATAAACGCCAAAAAATACTAAAATACTTACGTAAAGAAGATCATACAAGATACTTTTCGTGCATTAAAAAACTTGGTTTAACTGACACAGTAGTAATGAATGAAATTACAATGTAAAAATTATATATCTTAAAATATTAATGGACAAAAAAATTATATAAATGTTTGAGTTTTTATATTAATCTGATTTTATTATTTTTTGATCGTTTTTCATAGCATCCACCCATTCATCACCAAAAACACTAACTAATGCTAAACTAAAATCAACACCAATTCCTCCTAAACTTTGTCCACAATTGAAAATTCGATTAAGTATTAATGTTTTTGTTTTTTCTTCAAAAATGAAAGGAACATATGTTATTAATGTATTTTTTATCTCAGACACTATAAATAATGCGAAGTTTGAAAGTAATTTTTTCTTTAATACTTTCTCATTTGACTCATTTTCATTCATTATTAGAATGTTTTTTAAATTTTTCTCTAACTGAAATGCAGATTCTTCTAAAAATATTAAAGTATAATATGAAAATATACTGAAACTATGTTCTCTGAATATTTCTATATACTCTTTAAGGTATTTTCCGGAATCTTCTCCTTGTTTAGGGGGAATCAACTTAGAAATAAGTTTTTCTATATAATTCCAACGACAAAGTAAAAATGTATAACATAATTCAGTCTCCGAAAAATCATTTGTTCTATGAAGATAACCAATAACCTATCCTATTTAACTTTAAAAAACCAAAATTAGTTTAATTTTTACCTTAGTTGCTTCTGTTAATTTTATAGGCCCTCTTAAAAGGGATAATAATTGTTTTTGCATATATTCTGACATATGATTAGTTTGTTCTACTAAGTTTTGAATTATCCCAATTTGAGAATACTTAGATCCTAATTGTCTTGCATAAAATATTAAACTTATTGCTTCTGAATAACAATCGTTTTTTGTAAAAGTCTTTATTAAAGATGGAATCTCAAGTATGTTTAAAATGTATTCTTGATATTGATACAATAAACGAGTTTGGTTGAAAGTTTCATTCAATAAATCTTTCGAAGCTCTAAAATTTGAAATTTTTTCATTAATAGAAATAATTGTTGATTGAATTTTATTAACAGATTCATTGAGAGTATTAAAGGATTTAAAGAAACGATTCCCATAATTTATAATTGTAACAAGATTACTATGTTCTTTTTGTGTGATTTCAACTAAATCAGATATAATCCTTTGATTTTCAAGAACTAATTCATTAGATTTTTCAGATAATTCAGAAACAGAAGACTCCAGTAATTCTGATAAATATGATACAACAAAAGGATTATATTGGATTTTTTTAGACGGAAATTCTGAAGAAAGAAGTGTTAATAATGGCTCAAATGAAAAGTAGGTAGAATCATTATAATTATTCGCAATATTCATAGTATTTCTAATCGATATATTCAACGTTTAATAATGTTAAAAGTGAAAATATTGATGAAACCATAAAATACTAAAAGTATAATGCACATAGAATTTTGAAACGTTAATACATATTACAGTGGAAAATAGAAAGACATTAAAAATATTCTTATATTACAATACATTAAATATATATACCTCTTTGTTTCTATATTTTTTAACATACCAAGTCTTTTTTCAAAGAAATTTTTTCTTTTTTAAATTTATGTTTATTCCGGCGAATTTTTCGCTTTTCCTTTAATTTTATATTTTTTGACCATGAAATTGACTTTTTCTTTAAAATTATATTTTTTTTCTCATTCATTAATTTCTTTTCATTTTTTTTTCGTCTAGAGACTTCTTTTTCTTTATTAGCATAAGCCAATTTATCTTTCTAAAACAAATTAATATAGGAAAAAAAATTATAGATATCTTACATCTACAATTTCTTCTTCAAAATCTAATGCTAGATTCTTTAATTCTGGCATTTTAGGAAGATGAAGTAACCCAAAAGAATATGCTATTCCAGAAAAATCAAGATCCTTAACACGAAAAATGAAATGTGCCTGATGCTTTGAATATGCTCTTACATAAGATACAAATGCCTTTAGACCCTAAGTATATTTATAATCTTTCCACTAAAAAAACAAATACAAA